GATAAAGGAATAACTGAAGTTTGTTAAGGTAATGATGATAAAAAAAGAACAAAAGCAATATATTTAAAAAAACACACACAAGTCATAAAATATCAGACATACTTATCATTTAGATGTATTTAAAAAAAAAGTTGTCAACATGTTGTTAGATTTAATTTTCAGAGTATAGAGTGTTTATTTATATATTTAGCCAATCATCTATTCTCAAAGATAGTTTTTGACTCAATGAATCTGGTGTTATTTGATTAATTTATATTTTACCTATAATGAAACTTGAACTATAGATAGGCACAATTGGTATCTTACAATTTATTTAAAAATCAATCTAGAGTAATTCTGGCAAAAAGCTGGTTTTTCATAACCAAATGTTTACCTTTTTGTGGCACATTTGATTCCCAAGTGATGATCAATTTTATTTCATTTTCTGCACTGATTAACTGTTTACTTCAACAACAGTTCTGAGCGTCAGTTCTTTAAGGAAAATCACAGGGACCTTATAAACAATATCTTTCCTGTATCACCACAAAAAGAAATCATATGACATAATATCAGATGAATATGGCAGATATGGATTAGTCTATACTACCATGCAAGCAAATATACTAGGACAAGCAAATGCATGTCAAGAAATTTCCGAGAAATAAACAATTTTCTAAATGATCATTTATGGTATATCTAACTACAAAAAAAGAATGACTAGTTGATTTTTGTGGACTTCAAGAAAACAGGTGAAGTGTTTGATCTTTCCATTCCTTTTTGATGTTTAATACTACTAGTTTCTTGAAATTCCTTTAACCAACATTGAATATCATTTGAAGGTGGATCTTTTCTGTACTGAGTTCTGTAATGACATTGTATTGTGATATCAAACTTTGTTTCAAAAAACCAAAATACACGCATTGCTTTCTCTTTAACAATATTATTTTGAAGTATGATGTCATATCTCTGAGATATTAATGCTATAAGTACAGCATTGTTAAATAAAACTTCTTGAGTTACACTTTTACTTTTTGATTAAACTAAATTATCATCTGGCGAAATTCTACAAATTTACACTTTCATATTCTGTAAGCAGTTTTGTTTTGTTTTTTTAGATGGAAAATTATAAGGCATGGAAACCTCAACAATAATTTAGAATTACCTTATAATCATACAGATAAGTCATACTAAGTTGGACTGAAGAAGGAATGTTCATTCTGAAGGAACATTCTGAAATGTTAAGAGTCTTGAATACTGATGGCATATCCAAGTTACCTAATGTTTGTCAGGTAGCATGGAATTCTGGGAAGACAACGAAGCATGGCAGATTGGGGTTAAAATTTCTATTTTCAAGAAAGGGAAGAGGAGTAAATGCTCTTGTGTCTTGGAATTCCAGCAGCTGGAATGGGAAACTACTGGAATTGCTGTTCTTGTGACAATCTTAGGATAGTGGAAATTGAAGATGATGATTGTTTATAGTTATCAATTATTGATCTATTCAAGCTTAGGTTTCAATAAAAATATCATAGTTTATGTAAATTTTTCAAAAATTTGAGAAATTTACTGTTAAATCTTTAAAAGTCTAGAATCATTGTCCTAGGATTTTGCATAAAGTAAATATAGGGATTTTTTTTTCTGTAATATTATTAAGCAATTTTAGTTTTTAAAAATGTTTTATATGTCCAATCAGTTGGAGAATAATTTTTTTTTAATATAATTTAAATGAGATAGCATATTGGTAAGAAATACATAAAATCTAAGAATTTCATATGTCTTAGTAAGAGAATTTTATCTAAATAATTCTGTATAATTAAATGTTACATTATGTATTTGTCTATTGATATTTGTTACTACTACTTTTAGATCAGAGTTCCGCAACCTTTTCCTACTTGTGGCACACCTCTGACTCGACATGACTCAACACGGCATACAAAAATGTTATTCCCCTCAAAAACATATGATATGATACTATTAGTAGAATTTCATAATGCCATAAATCTATTATTATTATTATGTTGAGTTTTGTGAGTTACACTCGGTTGACACCTATGGCTGTATATTACGCAGGACACAGCATAATAACCAAAACAAGGCAAAAATTAAATAAGTGTGTCAGTGTATGTCTGTATTCAGGAATTTCCTAACAATATGATATGTATTCAATATAGTGGCCTTCTGTAGCGTGATGTATGTGTTTCTATTCAATTTTAATGTTTACAGGCTTGTGTGAGCGTGTGTGGTATGACACCTGTAGAGGGTAAAACGAGAGGTATAATAAGAACCCTATCCATCCTCCATATATGCCTTATTTCCTGGGCAAGTTCTGTGTACTTGCTAATTTTTTCAGTGCATGTGTTTTGTACATTGTGAGTGTTTGGAACAGATGTCTATAATGTATGTGATTTTATTGTGTTTGTCAATGAGTGTGATGTCTGGTCTGTTGTGGTAAATTGTTTTATCTGTGATTATGGCTCTGTCGTAGTACATTTTGTGCGTGTTGTTTTCCAATACTGTGTGTGGAATGTATTTGTAGTATAGTTTGTGAATGTCTACTAGTTTGTGTTTCTTTGCAAGCTCTTGGTGTATTATATTTGCTACTTGATTGTGTCTGTGTAAATAATTTGTCTGTGCCAAGAGCTTGCAACCAGAAGTGATGTGTTGTCTAATTTCTGGCATGATGTGACATTTTCTGCATGTGTCATTTCACAAATGACACATGCAGAAAATGTGTCTTTTGTGAAAAGTGTTGTATCTTTGAGTATGCATTTTCTGTAGTTTTTAGTATTATGACCTGATCCTGTATGGCAATCATGAATCCTTTCATCTCTCCAAAGAGGCATCCCGGAGCTAACCAGCTATTTGACGCTGTTTTGTTAACAAAATCCTGGGCCAGGTCGTAAGGATGTCTGCCATGGAGTGCCTTTTGAGCCCATGATTTTTTCTCCTTCCTTCTTTTTTTTCTTATTTTGGTTGATATGGAGATGCTAGCCATGTAGGCTCTTCCCACGATTGCTTTAATCTTTCTATGACAGATTTAGAATGATGTTTATGCTTAGTAAGTGTTGTTGTTTTCATTTGGAATTGTTCAAGATCTGTGTGAGTCCAATGTATAACTCCAAAAAAATAAGTGAGTACTGTGACGACATATGTGTTTATTGCTTTAACATCATCTTATTTCATCAGTGAATGAAATACAAGCATAATAAACACAACAACTGTGATAAAAATATATAAATAAAATTTGAGATTAATAGAATATGTAAAGTTCACGTCACACCTTTCACGTTGTGGCGGCACACCGGTTGCGGAACACTGTTTTAGATAATATCAATAAGGGTACATTTTATGTGCAAATAAAAGAAAACATATCTAATTTTTTAAAGGTTTATTAATAAACAATAATATAAATTTAGTTTTTACTTCATGATTTAATGTTTGAAATCTTATTAACTTAAAATGAAAATAATTGTTACATGATAATTAAAACATTATTTTATTTTTATAGTGGCCTTATAATGAATTTATTAGTATAGCACCTAATCTAAAAGGTCAAATAAGTAATGAATTTTTAATAACAATGAAAAAAGGAAAAAAGACAGATACTATGCGCTTTTCGTCTGATCACCGTCCAGATATTTTGACAGAGGCCTTGGTAAATATGACATCAAATATTAAAGTATTCATTAATTTTTTAACTTTAACTTAATAAAATTAATATTTCAGTTATAGTTTTATTAATTAATGTTGTACTTTTAAAATAGATTTTGCCTTAGCATATTCTATATATAAATTTTACTTCCAATTTTACTTCCAGTTTGTCCATACTTGAATATGAACTACATTTATATTTTACATAATTTAGAAGCTTATTTAATATAGATTAACCTTATTGCATCTGTTTTACTGTTAAATTTCATTTAAAATAATCAGAAGCAAAATTATGTCCAATTTTGCTTTTGCTGTAGTGACACTTTCCTACTATATACACCCACAACTACCATAAATGATCAGCCTAAATTTGGATATAATAATTATAAATGAATATGGCACTAGAGTTAGGTGCCATCTCATATTAAAAGTAATAATTATAATATTTAATTAATTAATTTAGATAAACTGGAAGAAAAGAATCTGCCCGAAGCAGGACTCGAACCCACTACCCACTTACTATGAATTGTCAGTTACGCTACCTGGACCTTCGGTCCAATCTCCTCTTTCAGTATATATAAGTTTAAGATATAACCATCGATGGTTATTACAGTGCCAACTGGGGAAGCATTCGTGCCCTTGGTCAGAAACATCCACTCAAGGCACTCAGTTGGCCATCCCAACTCTGGCAAAGTATAGATATACAAATATACACACCAATCAAAACCTGATATTATGCAAATATACACCCACAACTGCTGTAAATGATCGGGCTAAATTTGGATATAATGATTATAAATTAGAAATGAATTTATGAGATGGTACCTAATGCCTTACTCTAGTGCCAAATTCATTTCTAATTTGGTACTAGAGTTGGGTGTTAGGTGCACTAAGTTTAATTAATTAGTAATAACAGTTTTTGTAGATAGCCTTCTTTAATTCTTCTATTTTTTAACAAGATGAAACACTTTGGATTTATATATAAAAAGCCATATTTTAATTAATGCAAAATACTTTTAATTGTCAGATTTCAAAATATTAGATTGTGAAGGTGAAATTTATACATTTTGATTTTTTAGAAATGGCTGAAAAAAAATTCTAGAACATCCAATGTGTATATAAATAGAATAACTAAATTGTATTTCATTATATTTAATTTGAAATAGACACATCAGCAATGTCTGACAATATGAAACTTTTGAAATAACACATTTGCATGCTGTGTTCTATCACTTCAAAAATGGCCACAATACAATGAAAGTTCATAATCTCATCTGCAAGGCTTTCGGTGAGTACACTGTCAATGGACAGACTTTCTACAATTGAAGAAATTCAAGGATGTAGATTTTTGGCTTCAAGATGAACTCCATTCAGGCAGTGATTTCACAATTGATGATGACATTCTTCTACAACTGATAGATGATAATCCATGGTTGACCACCAGAGAATTAGCAAACTTGAATACAGTAGAGCGTCATTTATCCGAAAGTCGGTTATTCGAAAGCATTCCAGTCGGCAAATTTAAATTTCCACTAGTGCTGTGGTGCTGCAATCTTTGGCTATATCTTGGGCTACTCTAATAATTTTTTTTTGTTGGTGTGTGTTTTTAGCTGTCAGCACTGGCACTTTTGTGTGGTGTTTTTCTGAGGATTGTGTGTTGTGTTAAATCGAATGTTTTTGATACTAGATCATCTTCTAAAGTATATATTTTTTGGTTTTTATATTTTTCAATATATTTATTTTGTTTGTAAGAAATAAAGAAATCATTTTTAACGATACAATAGCCATGATTATTATTTTAAAAAGTATATTTTAGGCTTAACATCGACAAAAATTCAATGCGAAGTGACATGCAATGGAGAAAAATTTTAACACAGGATAGGTTAATATATTTTTTCGTACACAATCGATCATCTGAAAAATAAGTTATCCGAACAACTTCAGTCCCCAATTGATTCGGATAAACGACACTTTACTGTATTCTCATAAAAATTGACAGTCTGATACCACCAAGACAATGTGTCATCACATAAAGCAAAAATAATCGAGAAGGTGGCCAGTCTGGGTTGGGAAGGTCTGCATTATCCAACTTACAGCCCAGACTTAGTGTCAACTTATTATCTGTTTTGCATCCTTCAGAACCATTTTGCTAATACGGTTATGACAATGACAATATCCGTGTGAGAACAATGCTTGAGATTTTCTTCAAAGAAAAACCCTGGTCATTTTAGCCTCACAAGATTGAAAGTTTGCAGCAAAGTGGCAAGATGTGATTGATGTTGGTGATTACCTATCAGGCTGAAGTGTAATCTTTGTTGAGTTAATTGTCAATACATTGTTTTTTCAAAAAATCTGAATTTTACCTTTACAACCCAATGATTTATACAATTTGAAAATAAAACAAAATGAGAAATTTTTTTTGAAGAATTAAATCCTTTTTCAGAAATTTTGCATGAAGACATTTGAAATGAAATAAAAGTAAAATTTCTGTTTTAAGAATCAAATCTTCCTTTAAAAATTATATTCTATAAATTTAAAAAGAAATTGTGAAAATACCTATTGCTAACTAAATTTGATTTCTTAAATATAAATGTAGTGTTTTGTTTTGTTAACTTTTTCTAAAGTCTTTTGTTTTAAGAAATTTTATATTAAAAAAAAAAAACAGGTCTTAAAATTTATTTATAAATTTAGATATGTTTATTTCTTTAATTTTTGATATTAACAGAATAAAACTGATTTTTTTGGATATTATCACTTAAGAAATTTTTTTTATATAGATTAAATTATATAAATTTTTTATTTTCACAGAAATTTAGACATCAATTTGCAGAACCTCCATCCACAATTCTTGTAAGTTCAGTTTTTTATACAAAGTAATAGTATTAGAAATTTTACAATAGCTTTAATATAAATGAATCCAATAATATCTAAATATATTTACATAACCCTGATATGTTTTTTTTATTAAAAGAGAAATTGGATGTTATACATTGAAATATTGTGTTGATTGATAAATTAACATATCATACAATGCTATTTTACTTTTGTTATGAGACTCATTTTTAAAAGTGAGCAGTTTTGCAGCAGTATTTTTCTATTTGAATGGATTGTTTAGTTTTGCTTTGTATAATTTTAAAATAAGAGCATCTAAAGAAAAATAAGTGTATATTAATAGCTTGCATATTATCAAAGAGAAGATTTCTTTCTAAATTGAAATTACAGCTTTTAAATTATTTATTTCAGTAAATTTCTGATGATTTAAGAACTTTCTAAGATTGTTTTAATTCAATGAAAGTTTATAATTTTTATTTTAGATTACTCTTAAATATAATTTTTCTATATTTTTATTCATATAATTAAAATTATTAAAAGTTGAAAATCATCTAATTAACTTTATCCATATATATGGACAAAGTCAATTAGATGATTTTCAACTTTTAATAATTTATATTATTATAAATATAAATTTATATTATTATAAATAATATATAATTTATTAAATTAAAACATGCAGTTGAAATACTTGATTTTAGACTTGTTTGTATTTTTTTTAATACAGTGGTGCCTCGTATAACGTACTTAATCCGTTCCAAGTGCACATCCGTTAAGTGAAAAGTCCATTAAACGAAATGCATTTTCCCATAGAAATACATGTTAAAACATATAATTTGTTTTGTAGCATAAAATAATCATACTGTACCATAAAAAAAATGAAAATGGAGCAGTCACCAATTATGCCGGGTAGTGAGATGTTATGAGGAGGAGGTGGAGGAACACTTTATTCACACATTCATACAGATAGACTTTTTACACATTGCAGCAGGTCTCTTTTTATTGTTTTTTAATCGGAGTCAGATTCAGGAAAGGCTACCGGGACTTGCAGGGTCAACTCCTCTTGTTCCATCCTTTGTTTATTGCCTGCTGGCTTCTTAAAAAACACGTCCAAGGTGGTCTGTTTCTCTCTCTTTTTCAACACCTGTCGGAAATGACTGGCAAGGGTGTCATTGTAGAGATCATTGATCCTGTTGGCCTCAGCTCTGTTTGGGTAATGAGTGTTGGTAAACTCCTGAACCTCTCCCCATTTGACAAAGAAGTTTTTGTCAACTTTCACTCCTTCTAATGATTTCTTGCATTGTTTCAATTGAAATCACCTTTCTGTTTTTTTTAGAAGCCATGATTTGCACAACACTTGAATAAATGTAAATACCCTGTGCTGAGGTGATGTACGTAATAAACAAGGGAGCAAGCCGAATCCCAATAGGAGCTCTGTACTACAGATATACTAATAATATATTCTAATAATACTAATATATTATAAAAATAGCAGATTGTCATGGCAATGGCAAAAGAGTGGAAACATCATTTGCACTTGTTTGCAGAAAGTTTGTTGTTCGCCTCCCGTAACTACCGAATGGAAAGTCTGTTGTTCGCAACCAGTTCATTGCTCGAGTCACGTAACAGCCAAACAGAAAGTCCATTGTTTGCAGCGTCCATTATTTGAGGCGTATTTTATACGAGGCACCACTGTATATTTAATTTTAATAGTTTTTTTTAATAGAACAAATATGAAAAAAGATTTAAACAAGTTTCAATATCTAAATTATTAAAAATATTTTTTCTGTTAGTGTGTGATAGTAAAAAAACTTTCAATGAGTTGCATAACTTCCCAAACTGTTACAAGATTTTATTTTAAAAATTACTTTTATATTACTGATAAAATTAATAAAATTGTGAGAGACATCATCTGTTATGAGGTTTTGTTATAAAAGTATTTTTATATTTTTAATTATTATTGAATGACAAAAAGCATAATTCTGAGGGTAGTGATGAGTCTTATAAAAAATTGTAAATGCTAATAATGAACAACATTTTCATTAAGTCCAACCCCTCGTGAGATATGACACATCACACCACATTATCTCCTCACTCCTTTGACCATTAACCAACAAAATTTATTAGCATCAATGTCCCTTATATACAAGTTACCATGCCAAATTTTGTTTTTTCATCTGTAATACGTTAACCACCATTCGACATGCCTGCAGTCATATTAATTAAGGCCATACAGAGCTATCCGACTGCTCGACGTTGCTATAAGAAATGTAGTTTCACTCAAGGTTAAATTATCCTAGCTTTGTAAGATGTTGTTTTACATCCTAGTGGTGGCCTCTCACGGATATCTATAAAGTTGGCTCCAACCGTCAGCCATCGTATGGCCTCATGAAGTGGTTCGATGGCTTGCAGGCGTAGTGTTTTTTAATAAAAATCTATTTTATATCTGATAGTTTTTTTTTAATAGTAAATAGTTAAAAAAAAAGGGAAAAATATTGAAAACTAGTTTAATTAAAGTAAATAATATTATAAAACAAAAATCAAAGTATATAAGTGAAAAATAATATATATTTACAGAAAAAATCATGTGCAGTCCAAACAAATTGTAAAATACTTTTAACGCATAGATGTAAAAACTTTTAATTAGGTGAGCACATGTAATTACAGCGGGTTTGTAATATAAATAGCCCGTGGTCTTAGTCTTCAGTTCAAGGCCATACAACCGCCAGTCGTCATTCATATTTTTTTTTTATTTTCACTCTACTGACTATTATATAACAATCTTTCTATTTACATTATAATAAAATATTAAAAATTTTCTCATTGTGGCCGGTAAATATGCAAAATATCATATCATATATATATATATATATATTACAGGCAGCAGTTAACGTGTTAACCCATCTTGAGATACTAAATGAAATAGACACTAACACACACTCCACACACACACACAATTATTTTGTTTTTTTTTTTTTTTACTTTTTTGTATTCAGGAGGTCTCAAAATGTGGAGATTTGCAAAAAAAACTCTGATAATCAAAATTGATATAATTCCAATACTTTTCTTTGTTATATATACATAACACTTTTACTTTCCCAGCTGTTAATTAAATTTTTAGTAATTCGAATTTTTTAAAACTTAATTTGCATAAAAATAAATGTTGAAAGTTTGAACAAAATTATAAAAACATTCTGAAATCAAGATAGGAGAAATATGAATTCAAATAAGTCATCATGAATAAGCCAAATGTAAAACATTCCAATAAAAATAGAGCAGGAATAAGTCTGATAATTATCTTCAGTTTAATAATTTAAATTTTTTTTATGAGAATACAGATATCAATGTTACTATTGTCTCAATTTCATTTTTAGAGTTATAATGCATACAAGTATCATTGGTCAGATAACAGAATTCCAGTTGTTTTGGAGATTGGTCAAGCTGCTCTAGAACAAAAGGATTCAAAAACAGGAAAAGTGTTAGCATTTTATGATTATAAAGATATGGAAGGATTATATCCATTATCTGATATTCCTGGTGGCTTTTCTATAATGCATGGGGGTTTTGGTAGACAGGTAATTTTATATTTTTATATAACAATACATTGCTAGTTTTAAATTTTGTTGTTAAATATAAATATTTATTTCATTTCAGCATTTATTCATCACTGATAAGAGAGATGAATTACTAAAAAAAATTTCAGAATCCGCTTGGTGCTATGTTGGAATAAATATTAAAATTTTTAAAGAACAGATCTCATTTGAACAATATAGTGTCAAACGTTTGGGAAAATACAGGTATTTAGAAATATTTTGTTATATAATTTTTTTATGCATACATAAACAAAGTTAAAATACTACTGTGATCAAAAAGTATTGGCAATAGTTTATTTAATCTATGTGCATGTAAGAGGGCTGTTTTCATTTTTTTTTATCATTTGGTATGACTTTTGTTGATATCTAGCAGCAATCCAAATGTCATCGTCTGTTTTCATTTACAAATAAACACTTGTTTTGTGTAAAGAATTTTTGTGCCTGCAATTTTTCAAAATGTCTAGTGTAATTGAGCAAAGAGTGTGCATTAAACTTTGTCTTTGTAACAGAATTATTGCTACAAAAATGTTGGAAATGTTGCTAAAGGCTTTTGCAAATATTCTATCAGAAACATGAGTTTTTGAGTGGTACAAGATGTTCAAGGAAAGCAGAGAACACGTTAAAGACAAACCATGCTCTGGTAGAACATCCACTTTAACTGATGATGAACATGTCACTCTAGTCAGAGATTTGGTAATTATTGATGATAATTGTTTAACAATTAGGGACATTATTGAACATGTTACAGTATTATTTGGATCTTGCAAAGCAATTTTAAAAGATTTGGGTTTGCGATATGTTGCTTTCTGAATCATCCCGAAAATGTTAAATTTTTTCCAAAAGAAATGTGTTCAAGTGGCTGAGGAAATGCTTTCTCAAGGCAAATTATTCTTAAAATGCATTTTTATAGGTGTAGAATCAAAATGCATCGTGAAACATGGATCTACGCTTTTTACATCAAAACAGCTCAATAATCGAGTGAATGGCACTTGAAAGGTGAAGCAAGACTGAAAAGACTACATCAAAGTCAGTCAAAAATCAAGGTCATATTGACTAGTTTCTTCAATTGTCATGGTGTGCATCATGAATTCTTTCTAACTGGCCAAATTGTCAACAAAAAATGTTATCTGAGCAGTTTGCATCATTTGCATGAAACTATTCAAAGAACATGACCTGATTTATGCTGAGAAAATTTGTGAACTTTGCACAATGATAATGCACCTGCTCATGTGAATTTTTTCGACAAAACTTCAACAGTTTAAAAAATTCACCTGATATGGCACTGTGTGACATTTTCCTGTTTCCTTTACTAAAATTTTCACTTTGTGGTTACCATTTTGAATTGCTTGATGCCATAAAACAAAAATTCCTGCAAGTGCTGAAGGGGTTTCACAAAAATGACTTTAAAGCATGTTTCGAGGATTTGAAAAAAGTTGGTATACATGCATTGCAGAGGGAGGGGATTACTTTGAAGGGAACAAAATAAATTTTGATGAATAAATTCAAATCTTTCATCTTATTGAACCATTTTTGATATTTTTTTATCATGAGTATACTGTATAAAGGAAGGTTTAGCAATTAAATGTCTGAATTGAATCCATTGAGGCATGCAAAAAAAGCACATAGGAACAACATTCTTACATTTTTCTTTTTTTGTCTGACAGCTAACTAATATGTTTGTTTTTAAAGTCTTGCACATCAGTTTTTGAGAAGCAGAATGTACCAAATTTGATGAGGACATGGGAAGAAGGATTCCATGAAAAAAATTAGAGTTCCAAAAGTCACTGATAGGGGAATGTGGTGCTGCTACAGCCTATAGATTTAAGAATTTGCATAATGCACTAGTAAAAATCTTTAACGTTTAATTAGTGCAAATTCATGACAACATAGGCTGTTCAACATTGGTAATTCTAGCTATAAAGAGATGGTAAAACATCATAATGACATTCTGTTTATCATTTCTGCTGAACATGTATCTTACATTACCTCAGCATGTATTACTTGTGAAGTTATTTTACGTTCACCAGTTAAATGCAGCAGTCATGCTTCATGAGTTTAGAACTCATGAGAACTTGTGTAAAGGTCTGTTGTGTCAGTTAATACATTGAAATTGATGATTTAGAAGTTTGAAGAAACAGTTGCCAGCAGTGTAGCAGAAACAAAAGATCTGAATTAAGTTCATTTCACAATCATTTGGTTGATGCCTCAAACCATACCTACAATTGAGTCAACAATGATCCAGTTTGCTTGACTTGGTTCAGCCAATAGATGATGATCCAGTTTTTTCATATGATAAAGAGAAAAAATACAGAATGATAGTAAATGGTCAGACAAAATGTTGAAATCATTTACTAGGAATTTGTTTTACCACAAAGGTCTCCAACTTATGACACATATAGCATAGTTATCAAGTCTGCAAGGCTTATTTTCACTGACACATTTTATGAACATTTGAACTAGTTCAAAGTGAATAAACCTTTGAAGTATTAGTTAGAATTAATAGACATAACTGCAAATAATTTTTATCAAAATCTAATTAAAGAAGGGAGTTTGTTAAATTTTTACAAATCTCTGTCAGAAGAGAATTTTAAGTCTTAAGAAGTTTGTTCAGGATATTTTCTGTTTTTGCTTCTACTTACCTTTGCAAACAAACTTTTTTGAAAATGAAATATATAATATCAAACATCACTGTTCAACAAATACCTAAAGGAGATTTTAACATGGATGACACAAAAATTTTCCTTAGTTTGATGACATTCTTTTGGAAAAGCAATTACAAATTTTATTTTTATCTGTTGTGTTCAGAAATAAAAAACTCTTAATCTTCAACTATATATTCTGTATCTTGTCTGCTGACTTGTCTTTTACAGCTCACATGGCCCTTCTCAGAGTGCCCCTCTTCTGTCAGGTCAGTAAATGAGAATTAGATATAAAAATTTTGGATTGTTTGCTTAACAAATTGACTAAATAAAGCATTACTTTGGAAAAAGAACTAGTACTTGGAGCTTTGTGGCACATGATTTTATTATATCATTCATAATTAATTTAGCTATTGCAGAATTAATTTTTATCTTCCAAAATAAATTGATACTGAAAGGATAGTCATCTGAGGATGCAGATAGTATGAAATTTAGTATTACAAAGGAATTGGTAAATTAAACTTAGATTTGTAACATACTGTGAGACTAAAACTAAGTCCAAAAAACAAAAAGAGGTGTTACACAAAATTTGCAATATTTCAAGTACCAGGCCTTAACAAGAAAGAAATAAAACAATTGAAAAATGACATTTATGTAAGCAAAAAGCAAAAATCCACAACAATATTTATTAAGTTGAATAAATATATATATATATAACAATGATTATAAACAAGAAGTTAGTAATGAATATATATATATATACATACAGTATATATAACAAAATATTCAAAACAAGTCAAGATCAATTGTTACAAGAAAAAAACAGTCAATAAAAGAAATTCTCTTTTCCAACTCAGAACATACAATAAATTGCCACCATTACCAAATAAAAAGAAAGGAGTACATCTCTTACGAGTTAATTGTTTCACCAAAAGAATGCCAGAAAATTCAGTTTAAAAGGAAGGTTGCTTTCAGGAGATACATCACATGGTTGAATGGTTGTCATCTTTTATCTGCTTATAAGTTAATTCTACACTACCTTATTTACATATTGAAGTGTTACAGGATCAGTCACTTATGTAAATAAATATTCATTGGTCTTAATTTTGAATTTAGAATATTTTGGGGTTTCTTCGGAGTTTCTATCCTTAAAACATACAAACATCCCTGAAAAGAAAATAACAACTAAAAATAATGCCAAAAATATAAAATAACAATCTGACTTTGACTCTTTACAGATTAAAAAAAAATTTTTAACAGCCTCAGATGAGTACTAAAATATGAACCTTCGTAAAGATGATATTTTGGAGAATGTTAAAAAAGTTTTATTATTGTAACATAGTTTATTTTAAATTTTCAGTTCTGGAAATTGTTAAATTCTGTTTATTTTTCATTTTAATTTCATACAAATGTAAGAATTATCAGAAATATGAATAGAAAATATATTAAAAAAAATGAATTAACAAACTTCTATCTATATCATATCTAACAAGTTTTGATGAACAAATGCTTCTCTTATTTGCTAATGGTGGATACATCTCTTAATGATGACTTCAATGAATAAACATTCACTGAATAAAATAGATATGCAAATTTGAAACAGATAGTTGAAATATCTGTCTTGAGCTTACTGTTCTGGGGTACCCAGGATCAAAATTTTTGCAAGCAACCTCAGAAATTTTTCATAAGTGATTTGTTCTAGATATGTCAGGCCCTGTCTCTCATCACACCTGCTCTTTTCTGAGTGTGGAAAAAAGGCCCTCTTAGTGCCCAAAAAGTGGAAAGAGGCAAAAAATGAAAAAAGGGAAACTTTTATTTATCATTTATTAAATCGTCTATTTTATTTAGTCGTCATAACTAAATTTTAATATATTAGAAAGTGTGTCTTGAAAGTTTTTGTCAAATATGAAATCATCAGTAAGTATGATTTTGCTTTTAATATTGTGATATTAATAATTCTGATGTTAGAATGAATTTTATAAGTAAATTTATATAAATATTTTAGATATTAACTTAATTACATTACATAAATATTTTTTCAGTTCAGATGAAGCAATAACTTCAATTTGTGATTTTGTTGTACATAAAATATCATCTCGCCAAAATGTAAGTACTTTACCAATAAATAGAAAGTTTTTAGAAATATATTTTTCGTATTATCCATTAGAAGTTCACCTATTTTATAGTTTACTTTATGTAAAATTTTTGAATAATTACAGAATGTTTTTCTATAAGAAATTAGTATAGTGATTAAACCTGGCATATTGAAAAACAGTTTTTGTATATATTATTTTAAAAATACTTTTGATTGGTAAATTGATACTAAGTAATAGTAATATTTTTTAATCTATATGCTTTGACAGTGTAATAACATAGATCTGTAACAGACATGTTGTTGAAAGTTTTCTCTCTTTCTTAGTAATTTTAACACATTCCAAAATAATACATTTTTGTGTTGTTTATGTAATTTTCAAAAAACCCTATATTGTGTTTTTCAATGTTTTTTAGATAATTTAAAAATTATCATACTACTTCTAAACAATTTTTTTTTTCTTGGAGACATTGTATATGGAAAATAAGATGGGAAGTCATTTTGTATTTTTCTTAAAAGGTTTTATTAATTACTTAGAATAATAGCCTGAACTATCAGTGCATTCAGAAAGTAAGTATTGTAATATGTTTTAATTCACACCTGCTGACTTCCCTCATTTATTGTCAAGTCACAGATGCCATTACAAGAACATTAGAACATTTTTATGTATTTTCCTGTGTGTTTAAAGGGTTCAAGGTGATTTAGTGAGTTGCTGACTTTAAAACATATATATATTTTTAATGCAAGAAATGTGAAACCTGTGAATCTATCAGATTTGTAGGTTTTATAGTCAAAATGACATGAATGATTGAATGATAAGGAAATGGGTCAAGCTTGCTGCTCAAGTTTAAGCCCTTCACCTTGTCATTTAGCTGGAAAGAACTGGAACATCTTCCCTGAAGTCTAGATTTAAAATAAATAATAGCGAGGTTGAGGCCAAAGTTTTAAACGCAAAAACGTGTATGTCGGATGTTCAGCACTGCTTTCCTGTAAGCCTAGAAGTTTGACAATGGTGCTTGGATAGTCAGTGGAATCATGCTTGACATTCCACAAGTTATTGTATGTATGTTTTCAGAAAGAACAAAATTTATTACTTAAATTCAAACTGAAAATAAACTATTTTATGCTGACAGATTTTGTAATTGAGAACTACATTAAATTTATTTATTTCAATTTTCAATTACAAGATTATAAGATAGTTCATATTTAGTTTAAATTTACTTTAATATTTATTTGACATAGCAAATTTAAGTTAAATTTATCTTTTGATTTTATATAGCAGGAAAGAAGGAAAAGCTTGTTGTAGCTAAATTTTATAAAATTTAAAATTGAACTCTAGTAATAATTATAATTTTAGGAGATTAATCCTAGTTTTAAAGCATTTTTATTTTATTACATGTGTTTTAACTATTACTATTTTATAGGAACCAATTAAAAGGATATTAGGATTGACTGAAAGCTGTTTAGTGGAAAGAGATCCTTCCACTTATAGCATAATTACATTAAAGCCTTTATCAGAGGTATGTTCATATTATTATTCTTAAATGGTTAATAAACTCAGATTTCTTTTCAATTTGATAAAATTTTTGTTTTAAATATAAAATTTTTCATGTAATTGATCAATTACAGCCTTATTGTGAGCAGCCAATAAGGCAGTAATTTAGCTTTAATTAGAATTAATGACAAAACAATTGCATTAATGCCTTTGTAAGATTATCACATTGATATCAAACTGAATTAACCAAATGGCATTTAGTTCAGTTTACATATTTAAAAATTGTCATTGAGGACAATATGATTTAGAAGATGCCAAGTATTTAGTTATTCCTATTTATCTTCAAGCCCTGTACTTGTGAGAAATAAATGATTAATCTTTTAATTTTTCCTATATTATAATAAAAATACATTTTGTTTTTAAATAGTTGTGATGATATATTATTATACAGGATCTTTATAATTAAAGTTCCACTTCGAAATGACCATAAAAGGAAAACTACTGGACAAAAAATATTATGAAACTTGGTAATAGTTTACAGGAAGTCATGGGATTTTATTTTCTGCAAAAAAAAATAGTTCAAAAACTCACCACCAGCGGGAAATGGCTCTGTATGCAATATTGTTAAACAAAATAAGACACAAAGACATTGGTTGAAAATGTGTTTAATTGTTTCTAAAATGTGTTACAAAGCATGTCTAATGTAGTGTCCACCATTTTCTGAAAGCAAGTTAAATCGCATTACTGTATTCTCAACAGTAGCTTTTAGCATATCAGGAAGAATGTTGCAGACATGTTGGTGTATCAAATTTTTCACTTCCACCAAATTGTTCATTTTCAATTGATGTTTTCATGTCTTATTTCATTTAACAATATTGCATACAGTGCCATTCCCTGCTGGTAGTGAGTTTTTGAACTTTTTTGGGGGGAAATAAAATCCCATGACGTCGTGTAAACTATTACCAAGTTTCATAACATTTTGTCCAGTAGTTTTCCTTTTATGGCCATTTCACAGTGGAACTTTAATTATAAAGACCCTGTATGTTGACTTAACATAATATTTAAATTAGTTTAATTTTGATTGTGTTTAGCAATCTATTAAATTTTTATTTATCATCACCAGCATGCATTGCAACAATTTCATAGTCTGGATACTTAATTATCAAATGTTACCAAAAATCACCTGAATTATAATCAGTGTTCACTCTAATTTTTTTTGTAGATGAACAGAACATATTCTTCTCTGAGCAAAAAAAATTTTGCTGAGCAGATTCTGAGCAAAAAGTTTTTCTGAGCATGCATATATATATAATCTTATTTTTTCCTATAAAAATTAAAATAATTAATTATGAAGTAGAGATTAAAATTCATTTTAAAACATACTTTTATACAAAATATTATTTTTTGTCAATGATTTAATGTATTTAATCAAAATATACTCAGCAATAATCATGTTGCAGACAGAATGAGAAATAAGTAAACAACAATTCAAATCGGTGTGCATGCTCGCCTGCATGGCACATAAATTCTCATGCTTGGCAACAATTTGAGCAGTGTGTGGCTGTGCAGCTTAGAGGAAACATTGATTATAATTTGTTGGTTATATAATTTAGAATATGTAGAATTTGGTCTAGATTTTGGAAAATATGCATGGTAAAGACACAAACATGTATTGCACCAGGCTATATCTTACATCTGCTACATAATAACTAAATGCAATTGCACTGTGGAATATAGGTAATATCTAGTAGTCCATTTGATGGTTTAGGTACCATGTACTCCCAATTTTCTCTTTGCATGGAGGCAAATCCGATGTCTGATTTTATAAAAGATAATGGACTAGCTTAAATTACAAAGTCATAGAAAATTTCAAGACCAGAACAAAACACTTTTTGCCCAATTAAAATATTCAAATGGAGGATTGAAAAGTCATAAAAAATAGTGAAATTGCATGTGGTTTCTTTTTCCATGGCCTTTGAGTTCACAAGGCCAGGCTTTTCTATTGAGTATTTTAAAAGGACAACAATGTAATTTAAACTATGCTGTTATCTTTTATAGAATTTGCCCCATGTTAGGGGCATTGGGGTGTATGGCATACAAACTAACAAATAGTTTACTATTGATTGCCTATACTCTAGTACAATTGCATTTAGTTCTCTGTATGGAATAAGTTCTTAAAAATTATCCAAAATGGCAAATGTTTCAATGATAAACTGTGTGATTGAAAAGTGTTTCCTGTCCCTGAATTAGAGAATTGTAGTTAACTTACCTGCTGATCACATCAGAAAATACATGTTATAGAATATCTGAGGGAGGAAAATGTTATATTGTAAATCTCATTTTATATTTCTAAATTTTATGTAAGGAATATAAAGTTTAGAAATATAGTGGAGTTTTATTGTTTACAGGAAAATAACAACAATTAGTAAATTCTAATTACTGTAATCACAAATTGAGTTTGATAGAAGAAAACAAATTACAATAATCATACATATTTTTATTCTTTATTAATATAAATATCAAAACATCAAAATAATTTGAGGTTTCTGACTTTAAAATAAAATGTCTCTTTTTTATATAGTGACTGCACCCTTTATCCTCCTCTACCTATGCCAGTGTAAATTCTGGGTATTTTGATATATGTGAAAATCATAAAATTTTTGAGCAGATTTGAATATGCAAATCCTTTCTAATGTAAAGTTGAAGTTGGCTACATGCACAAATTTTAAGCAGAATTTGCTGTAGATGTGTACATATTAAATTTAGACAGTTACATAATCTTTAACAGTAATTTTCTGCTACATCACTTAATTACTTACCATTGATAAATTCATCACCTAATCAGATATTTTTTTTCAGATGTATAAAAATTTATTAATTTCTAGCAGATAGTAACATTGTTGAATTTGAAATATACATTTTTATGATAATTATCATTTAATCATTTATATAGCTTGAATTCTGGTAATTAGTATTAATTATAATTTACCAGACATAGTCAATAAGTCAATTGCTGCATCATTTTTGATTAATTGCAGATAAGTCCTGTTAAAAGCAAACAACTTGTAAATTTCATCTTTTCTACTTTGAAATATTTCAAATATAACTATGGGTTGTTTATGATTGCTGTATGAGATAACATATAGTTTCTGATTGTGACACAATGAAGAGTGTGTGTGAAGATAATAATTGAACATGAAGAAATGAAATGTACAGTACTCTAATGTCTATGGTCATATCTAAGTTTATGTTGTTGTTCTAGAAATCACTTTGTCGTGCCAAAGAGAAGCAAAACTTGTGATTTATATGATGAATGGAAATAAAATTTGTTTTTGTTGTTGTAAATGATAAATGCTGCTATTTGTCATAATGTTTACCAACTAACATGCAATAAATAAACATAACTATGTTCTGAAATATAACTTTGTTAATAATTTTTTTTAAAACAATAAAAATTTGATAGTAGATTATTGATACTTTTGATTCATAAAAGTAGATTTCATCCCACTATAAGTTGACCAAACCCGATAGTACTCTATATATCATCTAAAACTGAATTTGCTGTTATATTCTATTTTCAATACAGTATGTTTTCTAAACTACAGAATCATATCAGGTAAAATATGTTAATTTTATCACACAAACAATTTTAATCTAAAATGAATTGAAAACAAATTATTAAAGCATTTTTACTGAATTAGAAGTTAGTAAGGAAGTGGCATAAATGACAATAATTGTCATAATAAAGAAATTTTAATTTAAAAAATTTTATATTAATAATAAAGTAAGCTTACATAAATACTAATAACATATTACATTCTTAATGATGTATATTACCGTATTTTACAGACTATAAGACGCGCCTTAATTTTTAAGCAATTTTTAAAAAAAAAGCATTTTTACCACCTAAATTCAATCCTTTTATACGGATTGAAGCAAATGCTGATCCACCAATCAATGCTTAGTAGCGCTATTGGACATCCGCTGATTGTACAATTGTCACACGATGATCGCGGCCAATCCACGGTTGTGGATTTAGAACCACTGGTCGTCTCGTGATCTGAATTTCTATGGCAACAACCGTTGCTCGTTTGAAAAGAGAAAAAGCATGGGAATCGTGGAATCATACGTCTGGACGATTCTATCCCGACACCCCACAACTCATGTTTGTCACATCGGTGCACTGCTGCTGCCAGTTGAATTCAATGTTGCCAGATAGAGGTAGGTTTCTTGCGGCATCAAATATATGGCCATTTTTATGACGCGGGAATTTTAAATGAAACACTGGACATTTTTATTTTAATTTTGAGTATAAGACTCACCTGAATTTTGGAGGCAATTTTTCGAAGAAAAAAGTGCGTCTTATAGTCTGTAAAATACGGTAATAAATTTATATCATTAATCAGAAAGAGTATATGAGATTGTATCTCATAAATAGTTTTTTTTTTTTTTCTTGCATTATGTTGTGAATATTTATAACTAACTATTTAGCACTATTTTTTGCTATTTTAGATACTCAGTAGTTTATTACAAGATGCTTTCTCTTAATTGAAACTATTCTAATGTTTAAATTTTGTTGTTATTTTTCTTAAAAACATTTTAATCCTTTTTATGAAATTGTTTTTTTTTAGAAAATTCAAGTTGTATTGCTGAGTTATTTCACTGTAAATATGCATTCTAATTTTTAGTGGATTTCATTCAGAACAACAGTTCTTGATCTTTTTTTGAAATAATATCTGAATACTGATACAGTAAAGCCTTTTTAGATGACCATCTCTTTAAGCCAACTATCTTCTTTGATGACCAGATTTTCTTAGAATTTTTATTTCATAAGATTCACTGTTTTTAATCCTCTTTATGTCAACTATCTTTTTATCTGACTAATGATTAATCTTTGTATGAAGTACTCAAATACTCTTTGAGGTAACCAATTCCATCATCCTAGATGGGATGTGAAACTGGTTGCTTTAAAGAAGGATGGATCTAGGATGGTGAATGTTCTATTTGTTATCATCAAATTAAATAATATAGCAAAACTAATGACTTCAATCTTTCCATTAATAGGGAGTACTAAAATGGTATTGATAACAAATTTGGGATAGGATTTGGGCTGAAAGAGGAATTTGTTTGGATTTTTTCACCAAATAGAGAGCAATGAAAGGCATTGTCATTTCAAAAAAAGTTAAAACAGAAAAAGCAAATGCACATTTCACATTACTTTAAATAAAGCATTTAAGACTGTATGCATTACATTTCCATGTGAAACAAACAGAATTATATGTGAAATATTAAGTTTTCTTTCAGTATAGTGTTAATTAATACATAACATAATTTATAGCATTTTTTAAAAATAAAAACAGATTTGAAGTATGAGATTAGTGTGTGAGAATTTTTTTTTTGCTAATGCTAATTAACTGACAAAATTGACATATACTAGTACACACTATGCAGTTTTGATAATATAATACTACTTACTCTTGAATAAAAGTCATGAAAAAACTCAGCTATTTTAACAATAGTTGTGACTTACTTCAGTAAATATGATACTGACCATTTATGTCTGCTAGAGATTGTCCCTATTTGGTCCCTTTTTTGCATGTAAGATCTCTTTCCCCTTTTTAGTTTTGTGACTGTTGTGAGCCCTAAAAATATGATACATTTTAATATATATTAGTGAATATGTTTTCTATTTAAAATATTTTTTATCCTAATTTTCACTTTAAAATTTGAGTTATTTTTGACTTTAGTTTAAATAAAATCTATCTATAATGAATTTTCAAACTGAAGAAATTTTGGCACTTTTTAAATTTAATGTTAAAAACAAAAAGATTTTTGATAAGACTTTTTATTTATATGTTGTAAATGTTTCAGGTGTTCTCTTTAGTCAGAAGTTCTGAAAACCCTCAAATGTTTAGCATAGAATACATTAAAGGGCAAATAAGATCATATACTTCAACTGACAGGTAAATATAAAAAATTAAATATTTTAGTTACTAATTAAAACTAACAAAATCTATTTAAATTTTAATTGAAAGGGATTCACTGTTAGCTTCCTTACTGGATGGTGTTAGAGCTTCGGGAAATAGAGATGTGCATGTAAAAATGGTATTTACTGATAGAGGTCAGAGATTGGGTCCATTCACTGTTCCAGTAGATGAAGAAGTTGAACTTTGTCATCTTAAATTTTTGCAAACGTTTCCCGGTTAGTATAGTTTTATAGTATATAGTTCTTGTTTTTACTAAATATAAAACACAATTATATTTATATATGATAAATTAATATAATTATTTAGATTGTGTGTACATGCACCCACATTGTCATTTGTTTAGGCATAAGAGATAGTTATTTAAGACCATTTAAAGAATTCCAGACAATAATTGTCTCAATTGTTATGGTGTTAAATATTTTGTCAAAAATTAGTATACATTTGAAAAAATTTTGGTTTAGAATGTAGTTGATGTAACTGACAAAATCCATTCACATACTTTGTAAGAGTTAATGTTTGAATGGTATTGTATTTAAAATGTTTGATAAACTCAGTTCATTCTGGGCTGAGTTTATGAAATATATTTGAATTCATTTAAATTCCCATGTTATTACTTAATTTAGTTGTAACTTTTTAATTATTAGCATATCAGTTAGTAAGAATATATGATTTTTAAACATAATTAATAAATTGCTAATGCTTCATTAAGACCAGTGATTTAACATTTTTAGTTCAGAAAATTTATCTTCAGGAAATGATTAAGTATACACTTCATTCAAATTTGAGAAATTTGAAACAAATAGTATACAGTTATTAAACAAATATTACTACAGATTGTGTTTTTGATTTATTACAATGCAACCAGCAAGCCAACTTAAATTCTAAAAGTAACTTACATATAATAAAAATTTTCAGTATAAAAGACAATGTAACATGTTAAATCTACATATTTTCAATATAAAAATTAAAGAAAAGTTGGAAGAGAATGAAAATATTTATTTTATTTATTGAGTCTCTTGTAAAAGCAACAGAATTTAAATTATTTTAAGTTATTTTAAGGTTGTAGATCATACATGGGACAAAGCCACAAGAACTTTGATCTTAAAAAGTCCATTGTGCAATCTACAACGAATTACTTTAGAAGTCTGATCTCTTTAAAGAAAGAAAACAAACTTCTAAAGGAAAGTTGGACGATGTTACCAGGACTTGAAAATGTAAAACAAAAAGAAAGAACCAGATGAAAAGTTTTCCTGAGTAAAGATGTGCACATATTCAAATGAGATGGAGTGAAATCTCTCTAGCAAAGTCACAAAAGTAACAAACAATTGAGGTGAAGTGTTTCAATTGACACAAATGCTTATGAAAGTGATGAAAACTAGTATGTGCCATCCAAAAAGTGAATATGATTCTTGCCAAAAGCAAAAAAATTTCAGGTTTACACAGAGGTTAGGGAACATGCTAGACAAAAATGCTTTATCCTGCTTTAGATCAGGAGTTATCCGCCACTGTTTTAAATGACTAGAAATAGTCTAGTTTTTAACAGCTATAGAAAAATATTGAAAGAAATACTAAGAGGTGGTTTGGAACAGGAAAAAGGATAAGTTTCTTGCTTGGACACTAAATCAGCATTTATATTACTGGAAATTCCTATATGCCCTGGCACCTGTGAAAGAAAACTTTAAGAGAGAAGACAGTTTAGAGACATCTAAACAGCATTCCCAGACAAGTGCTGAAGTGGACTGACAAGGCAGTCTGACTGTTAGGAACAGTTAGAAATGATGCAGATAGTCTTATTAAGAGGATATATGGAATTCTTTAGATCAGATAGATGGGTTTCATGCCCAACAAATGTAAAATAGTGCAGCACACCAGATAATAGCTAACAGCTCAACTTGAAACATAGTAGGGAACTTGCTTAGTTGGACATAAAAACCTCTGTCTGATCTAAAAACTCCACAAATACCAGTACCACAATTGGTTTTGAATCCATTGTAAACCACACTAAATCCTTTGGATAAAGGGTCACTTATCTTATGTCAATCAACGTGACTAGGAAAGGAGACCAGATAATACTAAAGATAAACTGAGGTGACATTTTGTCAGAAATCATCAAAAATATGTTTCTTGCTACAGACAAATGACTAAAGGAACATGGTCTAAATATAAGCTATCTCTTACACTTCAGCATATAAAAGGGCTCTTTTTGTTTTAGCTTGAGAAGAGAAGTGAAAATGAGGAAAGCCCAACATAACCCTGGGAACTACCTTAGGGTAATAGACATGGCTCCAGGTGTGGCCCAGTGATAGTAAGGCATGCAGTATGCAGCAAACTTTGCAACTTTATCTGACTATCCTTGTGAAGCATTTTATACCACCAAATTAAAGTAGCATAGGCAATTTTGTGTCCAACCATAGTAAATATTCAAAGTAGAACATGAGCTGGTAGACTACAGGATCTATCAAGAGTAGAAGATACAGCACAATTCATAAAAAAGCAAAACTTCATAAAAGGCTAGAGTCAAGCAATACCTCAAGCTATTTGAAGAAGAAAACTATACTTTTTATCACAGGGAAGCAACCAAACATTTACCTGGAAAGTATTAAAAAAAAAAATGAAGTTCAGAATATGATGCTAATGAGTAATGATAAATGCTAGAATATTAGCTGCAACTGGCCAATCTTTTGTTTTAAATGGCATTCATTAAATGTCGAAATTTTAATTTGTACAGTTGAATGGACTGGTTAAATCTTTCTTTTTTTTAATTATAGGTCTTGGAGGAACAAAAGTCTTTTCACTTTTTCTGTAAAAGAAATAGGAATATTACATTTTTTGTAATGTAAAGACACTTTAAGAATACTAGTGTGGTAATTTTTCAGCTGCTATGGTAGTATGTGAGAAGCATTGTATTAATTGTGAGAATGAGGGGGTCTGGAACACCTTGTCTCACTGGGGATGACTGTTACTAATTGTCGAAGATGAAAACGCACAAATACCTCAATCTTTCTCAGATTGTCAAGATCTCTTGACACCAGTTAAGAAAAAAATTCTCATGTCCTAACTTGCAATTAGACTTTTCCAAATGGAAAAATATATATGAAAAATTTTCTGGAATTTTAGGATGGTCTAATTTGAAATGTGGGCTGATGATGGAGTTAGGTAAAAACAAATAGAATGAGATGATGATAATTAAAGGGTATATTTATTTAGAAAGGTTTAAAGTTATATACAAAAGAATAAATTCAAACTAATATAAAATAAACATATTAAAGAAACAAACTTCTAAATATAAATGATCTTTAAAGCAGTAAGTCCAAATGAAAACTCGTTAACTAGTTCCTTTCATAGAGAGAGAGTTTACATGAATTATATCATATTTCCTGTAATATGTATATAGGTAAGCTGACACTGTATGACAGTTATTTTTGGAATAATGCATAAGTATAAAATTCTTTCTTTATCTTGTATTACCTTGGAAGGAAATGAACAAGTGTGCCAGAAAATCAGGAATGCAGATCTTACCTCAGTAGAAGTGAAGTTTACTGAGTAGAGCTGATGAGAGAGCCAGAGAGAGAGTAAGAGAGCCTTATTTAGAAGTGACTTATCCCCTTTCATATGAAAATCTCTTTCAATCAGATTATTTGAAATAAGCCCTCCAAGCATGATGGAAATCACGCAGTTTTGCAGATAGTATATGAGATATCTTGCACTAACAATTGCTTTTGGAGGAATGGTATCATTTTCCTCCATCAAAACCGGAAGTTCCTGTTTCAACTTTATATAATCTTGTAAAACAGATAAAATTTGTCAATTACATTTAATTAATATTTTAACAACATTTATGAAAATTGATATCTCAGCTACAGATTCTCACATTATTATTTATTACTTTATTAATGTGAAATAACGCATTAGTATTTCATAACAAAATATTTGAAAACTTAAGCAAAATGAAAACGCAGCAACATAGAAGAGAGAGAGAAGGAAGTAAAAACTAACACAGTCAATTGAACTTTATCATTTTCATGTTATGTGGTGTGCACCTCACATGACTATCAAAATAGCTGAAAAATCCCTATATTTTAGTGTTCTTAGTGTCTTTAAATTACAAAACATATAATATTTCCATTAAAATGTTGTTTTTTTACAAGAAAAATAAGATCTTTTTTGTTTCCTTAATTGTGTTGTGCAATTAAAAAAATAAGCTTGATTGAATAAATTTGAAATTTTGATATTTAATGCCAATTTTTTTTTAAATGATCAGTTATAGCTAATATTCTACTATTTATCACCATTCATCAGCTTCTGCTGTTTGAGTTTAGTTTTGTCTGAATCCCTGATTAACCGTTGGTTAAAATCAGAATCTGAAACTGCTATTGATAGAAACATTAAAAATATTGGAGCAAAAGTTATTCCATGGAGATCTATTTGGTCTTCTGAGAGTTTCTTGTATTGGATGAGAGCTGTGCATTATCTCCTGCTCATTAGTATATTTAGCATAGATGAGTAACTTTCAAGTAAAAGACTTCAGAGAGTCAATTCTTTGTTCAAAGAACTAAATATTGAATAAGATTTACTTGAGCAGGACTGCTAAAAGTGTAAGATTCTTGAATGTTGTTGAACAAGATTGACAATTAATTAATTCAATATCCAATTCAGCACCAAAGTGATGAGAAAAGCAACCCAGTCTGGAAGACCAGTACTCTTTAAATAATACCTAACCAGTTCTCTTTAGATTGTGGAAAGCTACACTTTTTTTTTAAACTAAGGATGAATGTAATATGTCTGTGATAAGATGAAAAAGGTTTATTTCTTCACACACAACTTTGTCTTCATTCTCCTACTGAAACCAGAAAAAGCCAGAGTTATGTTTAAAATATCTTCACATCTGGAAGAGACATAAGTAGATTTGTTACCTTAGTCAAAAATTATTATATCATTACCAACTAAGAACATTCGCAGGCATTTATTGTATGCATTTGCATTACAATTGCATAGGAGAGAAGGATGATGAGTGGAAGAAAACTCCGTTATGATCTTATCTCACCAAATGGAAAAGGGAGGTAATTTGTAAGGAAACTAGGCAGAGAAAACTAAATATTTGTTTTACATTATCTTTACTGACCAGTATACATATAGCAAGTAGATTGCTTGATCAGAGGACCAGTTAGAGATTCAGGGAAACACCTGAACTTATTTGCTAGCAAAAATAGACATCATCAAGGTTCCTGTACAGTGGTACCTCAGGATACAAAATTAATTCGTTCCGAAACTGAGATCGTATCATGAAAATGTCGTATGGTGAATCATATTTTTCCATACGATTACATGTAAAACCAAATAATTCGTTCCAACACGAAAAACACACTCAAATTAAAGCTAAGTAGTACATTTAAAAAAATAACTATAGTAAGGAAAACACTGAAAAATGCATTTTGTAGTTGTAAATGTATAAATAACCATTATAGAATAATAATTGATTAAAAAAATGTGGTTTTACTAGCACTTTACCTTTGAGGATAGACGACGGTGGAGGTGTAAACTGGTAGAGGGAGAAGGGAAATGATACTAAAACTTAACTTACATAACATAACGTAACAATAACTTAAAAATAACTTAACACCAATTTTTTAATCTTTTCTGTTTCATATTTTTTTTTAATTCTTATTCACTGCTTTTTGCTTTCTTTCCTTCACTTCCACCAGCACTTTCACCGGATAGAGGTCGCTTGGTAAAATATCTATCCAGAGGTTTGGCTTTGCCTACTTTTTAAAATGTTTCTAAAATGACTTAGGCAAATGTCATTACTCCGAGCAGCAATACGGCCAGTGTGAACCTTTTCGGGATGTTTCTTTTCAATAAAATCAGTTGCTTTCTGATAATACCTCAAGATTTCCTTTATCGAGCGAGATCCTTCCACGACGAAGCAAACACACGGACTGAGACCAATGAACAGAAATGAATAAAAAATGGCGCTGCAAACTTATGTAACGTCGTATGGTGAGTTTTTGTTCGTATCGTGGAGCAAATATATGTTTGAATTTTGTGTCGTATCCTGAAAATTTCGTATGATGGGGTGTTCGTATTCCGAGGTACCACTGTATTAAGTTTGGCTATTTCAATGTCCTCCATTACACAATACATTGCATAAATCACTTTGCAGTGTTAGATTGGCTGGTGAGGTCTAAAAAGACTTGATTACCACACCTATTAGCAACAGTAAAGCCCACATTAAAATACAACTATTAAAAACAAAGACAATTACAAGAAGTAAATAAAAATTATACAGAATAAAGAAGCTTTTGATCAGTCTTTATCTTTGTTTACTGTTAACTTTGTTAATACTAATAACTCTGGGAACCAGCTTTTAAAAAATCATTTTGGTGCCTGTATTCCAGCAGAAATAGATACAATATACTTTCAAAAACTGGGTTGATAGAGAAGATATATTGGTGAGATTTGATATAAAGTTTCTTTTTAAAAAATTGGTTGACAAATTTATACATTAATAAAAAATATGTAGAAAGACCAAAATGTCTTCACTTTTGCCATGTCCAATCACCAGAAATGACATCTTCCCCTGTAGAGGCAACCTTCCTTTAGGAATATTGTATTTTTAATTGTTTTTTCAGTTTGTAACCAGAGAACTTTTAGAATGTTTTTGCATTTTTTTTTTTGTAGAGGCATAGCCTCTAAAGAAAGGTTGCTTCTGCAATGGAAGATCACTGTTCCTGGTAATTGGACATGGTGAAAGTGAAGACATTTTGGTCTTTTTATGTATTTTTATTGATACAAAGTTGTATGCAAATGGAAAGTTTTAAGACAATGGTACAGTTGAAAAAGTTTATCATGCTTCAGAAATGTAAAATCTTATTTTCTTAGAAATAAATCATTATGCTAATTTCAAAGACACTGAAATTTGATACAGAAGTCATTTTGTATCTTAATTTTTTTAGGATACAAGCTGAACCTAAAATTTTCTTGTACTTCCATTTAGAACAACTTTGGGATAATTGTGTGTGAGTATGCCTACATATATACAATGAAGTATAGGTTAAAGATCTTATTGAGATATAAAAGAAATGGAACAAAGATCTTGAAGATATTAAAATGTAAATATGGTGGCTTACTATTACATGTTGAAAGAAAAGAGCAGAATATTTAGACAATAGAAAATCCAAAGCAATCTTTCAAAGACAAGGACATGATATTCTGCAAAAAATACCAACAAAATTGAATTTTGAAATGGTAATTCTGTATTTTCAATACATTATTTTTTTAAACATTCTGATATTTGGAAATAAGTATAAATTATATTATGTAATGGTGTGTAAATGCTTTTATTTGTTGCAAGAAAACTTGACAAAATTTTAAAAACAGGATAACATTTCTTAATTTTAACAAAAATATAAAAACTGATTCATAAACTCCCATTAATAAATTTGTAGATCTGTAATTATAATTGTAAAATAATAATAGTTTAACTCGGAAATTCCCAACCCAGGGTACGCGATAGGTTGTTTAGGGATACAGAAAAAAGTTAGTTATTATGGCAGAAAAAATAATATATTATGTATCACAAATTAATAGTATTAAAAAATTATTAGGTAAAAAATGTTCTTTGCAACAATCACAAACTTTATTATACATTTCAAAATGCAAAAATAGAAATAAAAACTTATGCTGCCAATTGTACAATGCAACAGATCAATAAATATTGAGCAGTCGGTCAGTGGTTGTGGGGATACCATTATGTGATTAGTGATTATGCTACAGACTTTTGATGGTGGGGTGTTACCATTATTATTATTATCATCTCTCAACAATATCCTTATGTGTTGTTTGAAAAAAGTATTCTTTTGTTTATAAAAATTATTTTTTATTGTTAGCAAGGAAAAAGACATAGCTAATTTCTCCAGATTTTCTCTACAAGCTGTAATTTTTTTCATTATTTATTCAGTATTTTTATTAATTTTTTTATTGACAAGACTGTCTTGTTTATAAAATCATACTGCCTACTGTGTTACCAGATTAGAGTACATTTCAAAAGTTGCAATTTGGCACAAAGTGTTAGGTGCCCAAATCATGCACACACAAAAAAACCAGACTTGTAGGTACTTGGGACCGAGAACCAAGTCAAAATAAAATTTAAAATGGCGATACACTCTACAAACATGCGGATTTGCACATGCGTTGCTCATTGGGAAGTTGGAAATGCCACGGGGGTACGCTAATGAAAAATTGTTGGGAACCATTGTTTTAACTAATGAAAAATATTAAATTTATCTTACTGTTTATATGTGGTGATTGTTTTCATGATACAATAAAATTGTATAAATTTTAATAATTTTTAATCAATATAGTATGTAAATCATGATACATTTATTGTAATATTTTGAATTATTTCAATATTAATTTGCTTGCATACATTATTTGCTAATTTCAATTAAATTTTGGTGTTTTGTTTAGTTAACTGGGATTTTACTGAAGCTGTATTCAGATTTAATAACAATATTGCATACAGTGGTCTTCTGCATATAAGTACTCAAGAGGTAAATTATATAACTTGTTTCAAATAACCTAGAAAGCAAAATTTAACATAAATATTCTATATATGTATATATAGTTTTTTAATACAAATTTTGCAACCTATTTAAAGTTTTCTCATCCATATGAATTATTGGAAGTCCTTTTAACTTTTTTGCTACATTGTAATTTGATACTCCATAGAAGATACACAAGCATTATGCACAATAAATACAACATAGTTTTCATAAATTCCATTTGGTTTAGTGTTTGCTTTAGAATTAAAATAATGTTTAATTTTATCTAAGAAATGTCTATGATTTTCATAATTTACAAATTAGTTTTATTTATATAAGTTTGTAAACCTTAAAACGTTTTACTTTTATTGGTTTAATTATTTGATAATTTATCTTTCTTAACAATTTTTAAATGAATAAATTTTAAAATTTTTAAAAATCAAGAGTCAAATATTTTACTCATTTTATATTTATGAAGGAAGTTAATTCCTTTCTTACATAATAAAATAATTCACAGATCAGCATATGATATTTGATTATACCAAATATCATACACTGGTAAAACATTGTTATATTGTATATGGGTCTTGATTATTTAGTCATATTTTTCAAAATTGACACAAATTTTAGTTTGTATTCATTATTAACAATTTATTAAATAATTTATTAATCTAATGAAACAGGCTTTTTAGTTTTAATGTTCAAATTAAAAATCTAACAGATTATAATAATAGATTGGAATTAAGGTTTTGTCTTACACGATATAAGTAGTTTACTGGTTTGAATTACGGTAATATATAGCATATGAGCATTTAAAAAAAGTCAAATAGACTTTTTATTGAAAATTATCATGAATGTGTGTTTAATATTACTGGTTTATCTATGGAAACTGTCTACTGATGAGTAAATTATATAACATTTTAAATATTTTCTTGCACAAAAACAAGTTACATTTAGCAATAAATTTTGGTCTTTTGAATAGAAAATCCAAATAGCATTAAATGCACTGCTTGATAAAGAGGGAGAACAAGAAAGTGTTCCTCAAGAAGTTGTGGAAGCACAGTTTCAAGCTCTTCGACGATTGATTGCATCTAAAGTTGGTTTTGCTTCATTCACCCAACTTTTAAGGTAAAATCCTTTACTAAATATATTTTGGGAAGTATTAGTTATATTTAAATTAATTAAATAGGTTTAACAAAGTGAAGTTTATTAAATGTAACAGTCTAAATTCTTTGCTTTTAGCATATCTAAAATAAAATTTTTTTAACGTTTTCAATTCTTAGTTCCTAAATGACCAAGAAATTCAAAAGAAAAAAAAATCTTAAGAATTCTTAAATTATATAATTAAAAGTTGCTTTAGAATGGTTAAACATTTGTGTTGTGAACAAACATCAAATTAATAAATAACAAAATAGTTTTTTTTTTTTTACTTAGTCTAAATATATTATTTAGAATTTTTATTTTTGAAATGTTTCATAAATTTTAGCCATATATGCACATGTAAGGTGCATAATATGTATGATACGTTACATGTATCATACATGTATTACTAACTGCTGCTTTTTATGTATGATACATATAACATAGCAGTTAGTATTAATTGTTAAATAAATATTATTTTATTTTTTTAATAATCAATATTGATGATTGTTATTTGATAAATTAGGTTTCGTGAAAGATTAGGAATGAAAGTTGTGAAAGCCTTACAGAGAAATAATGATGGTGTTACTCATGCTGCTATAGATATGTTATGTGCTTTGATGCAGGTAATCTGAAATTTATTTTAGATAGTCACAACATGTTTTATTAGTACTTGATCAGAAACTATTTTCATATTCTCTTGTATAAAATAACTTTTTAATTTTTAAGTTTTGTAAAAAGTGGATTTAGGGAATATTTTAACATTAAATATGAATTTCTGCTAATTTTCAACTGTTTTAATATTTTTATTTTATGTATAGTAATTTGAAAAAATTAGATACACAAAAACAAGTTTTTTTTTTATATCTAATTTTTTCAAATTACTATACATAAAATAAAAATATTAAAACAGTTGAAAATTAGCAGAAATTCATATTTAATGTTAAAATATTCCCTAAATCCACTTTTTACAAAACTTAAAAATTAAAAAGTTATTTTATACAAGAGAATATGAAAATAGTTTCTGATCAAGTACTAATAAAACATGTTGTGACTATCTAAAATAAATTTCAGATTACCTGCATCAAAGCACATAACATATCTATAGCAGCATGAGTAACACCATCATTATTTCTCTGTAAGGCTTTCACAACTTTCATTCCTAATCTTTCACGAAACCTAATTTATCAAATAACAATCATCAATATTGATTATTAAAAAAATAAAATAATATTTATTTAACAATTAATACTAACTGCTATGTTATATGTATCATACATAAAAAGCAGCAGTTAGTAATACATGTATGATACATGTAACGTATCATACATATTATGCACCTTACATGTGCATATATGGCTAAAATTTATGAAACATTTCAAAAATAAAAATTCTAAATAATATATTTAGACTAAGTAAAAAAAAAAAAACTATTTTGTTATTTATTAATTTGATGTTTGTTCACAACACAAATGTTTAACCATTCTAAAGCAACTTTTAATTATATAATTTAAGAATTCTTAAGATTTTTTTTTCTTTTGAATTTCTTGGTCATTTAGGAACTAAGAATTGAAAACGTTAAAAAAATTTTATTTTAGATATGCTAAAAGCAAAGAATTTAGACTGTTACATTTAATAAACTTCACTTTGTTAAACCTATTTAATTAATTTAAATATAACTAATACTTCCCAAAATATATTTAGTAAAGGATTTTACCTTAAAAGTTGGGTGAATGAAGCAAAACCAACTTTAGATGCAATCAATCGTCGAAGAGCTTGAAACTGTGCTTCCACAACTTCTTGAGGAACACTTTCTTGTTCTCCCTCTTTATCAAGCAGTGCATTTAATGCTATTTGGATTTTCTATTCAAANCCTAGTGAACATTACAGGCATTCCGTGACAATAATAAATTCCTATTACAAATATACTGAATTATTTATATTGTTATATTGACCAAATAATAATTTATTGGCCAAATGAATAATAATAATTTATATTGTTAATTTAAATAATAATTAAAATTGTTAATTTAATTTGAATGTTTGAAATACGACACACGATAGGGGCGCCTCTAGTGTCGGTTATCAAACGGTTACGGGACGGACGGACGGAAGGAAGGACGGACACCTGTTGAATGGGTTATATATATAGATATTAATGTATCTTTGGTTATGGTTAAAGAAATAGGAGGAGGAAACTGAGCTTGGTGAAATAATAATAATAATGCTTTCATTTTCACATAATTATTATATTTACATTTATAGCTAAATTGAGAATGATAAGGTTTAATTTATAAAAATTACATGACTCCTTTTTAACTGCAGAGGAAAAATAGATGTAATCAGTTCTGTTTTCTTCTAGAAGAATTGAAAGTCATTTAAATACTGTTGGTATTTTTTGTTTTTATCTTCAGAATTTTCATTAATATAACAAAACAGAAGTTAAACAATACAATATTTTCTTAAAGTACTTAAAATTTTAAAAATTCTAGTAGAAGACAAGATTAAGACATTTTTCTGAAAAAAAGTAAATTTTACATGCTTTTATTAAATTATTTATATATTTTAAATTATCATTTTTAAATTTTTATTGTTTATTATAGCTATAATGATGTTAAAAATAAAAAGTCTCTTTTAGGCATTAGTGTTATTACTGAAGATACATTTTTGTTTGGAGTTAGAAAAATTTGCTTTTATAAATTTTTTTGACTTCCAAAAAGTTAAGCTGGAATTAGATTATTTTTAAGTTCATAAATATAATTTTACATTAAAGATTTTTATGTAAAACATGTATAAAAATAAAGAATTAGTTTTGATTTATTTTTACAAATACATATGCTCTTTGTATGCAGGTTATGAACAAAAGGAATTATCATCAAAGTATAAAATATAAAAAGTAATATTTAGTGTTAAATATTTGCTAGCAAATGCTATTCTCCAATAAGTGTTTTTAATACTCTAGATAAAAATTATAGTCTTAAATTAACTGCATTGTCAGGAATCTTAATATAATTAGTTTGACATTTATTTATTTGAAATTCAATATTAATTATTTTATTGCCTAATAAAAATACAAAATTATTAATAAGTTATAAAAAGGTTTTAGTAATGTATTATTTCTTTTAGTTGTTTTCATAAATCACAGAATATTACATAAATGATCTAAACATAATAAGTAATTACATAGTAATGTAATAGCAAATGCATGCATTATTAAACACACAACTTATATAAGAAAATATAAGAAAAACACACAATTTAGCATATTTTGTAATCAATGTGTGTACACCATTGATAATTTTATTTTTGAATAATAATAATAAAATTTATTTTACTATTCATTAAGACATCTGGAAAATAAGATCTAATGCTGTTTAAAATTATTCTATTTTAATATTTAAGCATTTATTTTCACTTAGTATAAAAAAGAACTAAATTCAAATACTTCTTTCAATAGCCAATGCATGATGATTATGATTTGAGACAAGAACAGCTAAACAAATCTTCATTACTCTCTACAACAAAGTTTTTGGAAAACCTTTTAGAAATGTTCACCACTCATGTTGTAAGTTAGTTTTGTTATTTAAATGCAAATTATTTTAACTGTAGTTAAGTTTTTATTTCATGTAGAATAGAGGAACTGGAGCTTTAGTAGTTGCAGCAATGTTGGATTTCTTGACATTTGCTCTCTGTGCTCCTTATAGTGAAACAACAGATGGCTCTCAGTTTGATTCACTTTTACAAATGGTTGCAGAACATGGACGATCACTTTTTAGTTTGTTTCAGGTTGGATCTATTTAATTTATTTGATAATTTAATAGATAATAAAATTTTATGATTAATTTAAAAGTATTTTAAATATGTATAGCATCCATCTATGGCCATTATCAAAGGAGCAGGTTTAGTAATGAAAGCAATTATTGAGGTATGAAACAATTTATAAATTTTTCTTTAATATATATATTTAATTGTATTTTTTTTAATATTGTTGAGCATAAACTCAATAATTTACTTTGATAATCATAAATATATTTTCTGGAATATTTGATGTTAAAATTAATATTCTATGTATTTGCCATTATACAATTTTTAATAATTTAGAAATTTCATGAACAGTTATTAATTTCAATTGCAAACTAAAAATATTGCTTTTATGTTCAAATCATTCTTTGTTAATAATATTTCTGAAAAATAGTATAATCTCAATAAATAAAAATTAAAAGAAAATACCAACATATGATGAATAATCTTAAGAATATGTGGGTTTCTTATTGTATCTTTTATTCAAAAGTCAATTTCAAGATCTCAACTAGCAGACAATTTGCTAAAATTTATTACAACAGTTTTAAGGCTTCTCTTATAGATTCAGCAACATATTCAATACTTCCATTTTCAGGTTTCTTTTTCTAGACATTTTAATATTTTTTACTCCATTTAACTGTTAGTTCTTTGTCTAGAAGCTATAAGTAAAAGATATTAATTTTTCCTTTCTTAATGATGATAGTCAAATTTACAATGTTCGTATTTCACACAATTGTCGCCCAACTCGGTGGCGGCAATAACATTAGCAAAGTTCAAATAGTTCAATAGGTTGATCTTGGTTTGTCGAGAAGACACCTTATGACACATTGAGGAACTGTGGCTAGAAGTAATATCCTTCTGGTGGTTGAAGAACAAACAGCAAGATGAATCCACACTTGCCTTGAACCCTGATGCACACTTGAAGTTCCAAACCAAACTTAGACGAGACTGATGTATATCCTGACATTCCGAAGCAAACTTACGTAGATCTGAAGTTTCTAACCGAACTTAGACGAAACTGTTGTATATCTTGACGTGCTGAAGTGAACTTACGAACTTATGAAATTAACACTTAATCTGAACTTAGCCAAAACTGGACTTAACTTAGCTGAGCTTAAAACTCCTGCTTCGACATTAATTTTTTTATAGCATTGACAGCGGGCTGTTCCTGAAATGCCACTTAATCGGCACAGGCTGTCAAAGCCCATTCTCTTTGTTGGGGATACAAAAGGATTAAAGCAACAATGTCTGTGCTCTCTGATTTGACTGATCATGCCTAATGGAATTTAAACCTTGAGGTCAAAAATAAAAGCAGCAATGTGTGCTGCTAACAGAAAATAGGTGCAAAAAATGAACAAAACGAAAGGAGTCACCTCTTAGTGTCTGCAAATGCAAGGATTGTTTCTCAGTACCCAGTCAATGCAAGGTTTGTCTCTCGCATGGGCGGCAGATACTGTACAAAGATACTCTTTTATGGCAACAAGTGCAAAGTTTACCTGTTTGCATTCGTCAGGTATAACGATTGCTGCCTCTTCTGTGCCTAACCATGGCAGGGATTGTTTTTCTTTCCAGCTCTGCCTCAATTCTATCACACTATGAAAAAGTTGCACAATGTCCTAATTTAAATTTATTTACTTTTTTTAATATTAAGGTAATTTCTGCCTTTGAATTAATTAGTTTTTCATTGGAATGAGAGAATACTATTTTTCATAGTTTTACATATTCTTTTATACATTTAAACCACTTTATTGTATGTAAAATTATTTTTTAAATAATAGAACTTTAAACTGTTATAAATATATAAACTGTTACACAAATCTAAAATTTCTGCAAATAATTAAAATATTTATGTATTAATATTTGAGAGATCTAAACTAAGAGATTTCCTGGGTTTTTCTAAAAGTTTTGTAATTAAATTTCATCAAAAAAGAATCAAGCTATATAAATATATTTTTTTCCCACAATTATATAACTTTGTCAAGTACTGTTGTTTTTTTCTTATGATTTATTATATTAATTTAAAATTTTCTATAATTATCACATCATAAAGTCAGCATTTAATTATTGTTTATGTTGATATTTTAGGAAGGAGACAGTGAAATATCTGCTAAAATGCAAGATTTGTCTCTTGCTGAAGGGGCTTTACCACGTCATATTCATATCGCCTTGTTCATACAGAGTTCTGATAGTCGGATGCTAGCTATGCAACAACTTTCTCGGCATTTAGTTGCATTATGGGTTACTGGACACCCTATTGCAATGGGATTATTAAAGAGAGTAATTGTAAGTAAATATTACAATTCTTTTTAAAACTATGTATTATCTAAAACATTAGCAGGTTTCTTAACAAAATTTTAACTAGGAAACTAATGAAAAATTTATTATTCTGGTGTCTGAATTTTTATCTAAATCAAGATGCATAAAAGCAAAAATTATGAAAGATTCTGAAGTAATGAGATTTTGGTTTAATTTGAATTTTCAGCTAAACATTATTATCTGGTAACGTATGTTGATCTCAACATTTTGCTCATTATTAATACTAATTCAAATACATTTGTGCGTTTTGGACTTTGGCACTTCTTGCTTATATAACTTGTTTTTATGAATTAAAAAATATATTACTATTTAATTTTTTTCATTCTTATGAAAGAATTACTGAAACTGAGATTATGTAAAATATACAGTATTTTTGCAAATGTGATTTATTTATTTTTTTTACAAAATTAAATTTTAATTAAATTTTACAACTTTTTTTCTTGCAATATTTGATGCATATACAGTGTAAAACAGTATAACAGTGTAAAACAGTATAAAAGTAGAACAATAAAAAAATTTTATTTTCTTCAACTTCCATAACAAAAATATATTTGAAATTTAATTTAATAATAAACTACTAGAAAATAGAAAAATACAAGAAGCAGCCTCTGTGATGCATCTACATATATACAGCCATTTTGCCAAAGTCATGTGGCATGTAGCCTAAATGTCATTGAGCAGATTTCATGTAGATACTTTCTCAAAAAAAAAAAGAAAAGAAAACATGCAAAGTGTTGCTGTGAGACATGGATATTTTTTTCTTGAAACTAAGTTCACTATTGACTTCAGTATGTTTTAATTACTATGGAACAGTTCAGATATCCCTTGTACAACATGGCATTCCTACAATATTGTTTCACTCTTACACGGTTTGAGAATTTGGACAATCCTCCATACAAAATTTCACAATTTTTAAGTGCAAACTCAGTTATTTGATAATTCTTTTCTTTATTCAAGTAAGCATGCATGTTGTTTCCTATAAGTCCATAGATTTTAGATGGCCAAGCAGTTGAGATGGCAACCAACCACTCTGGGGATCCAGAATAAAATCTAGACAGGTTGAAAAATTCCTGGGAATTTTTTGGGGTGGTCCATCCAGATATGTTGGGCTCCATCTATCACCACTCAGCCTCCCCATTGTGGGCCTGTCTAAACCCATAATAAGCATGTTAAAAGAGGCCCTTTTAGTGCTCACAGGGCAGAAAGTTTAAAAAAAAAACTCGTGGATTTTAGAATATGAAATTTTCAATTTGTTTTGTACCTGTCACCAGGTTCACTTTAATGAAAACTGATATTACAATTGTTCCTAGTTTTCCTGTCAACCAGGTGTTATTGTCATTGCTTTCAGACATTAGCTTTTAAGACTGTCACTGTGTTCTGTTTTTATAGATTAAACTTTTTCTTTAACCATAGGTAGGTAATCATTTGTAAAAATGATGAATGAAATACAACCATACCTCGGTACTTGAACTGTTCCCAACTTGAATAATTCAGTATTTGAACACATTCTGGAAAAAAATCACTCTGTGCTTGGCTGAACAAACATGACAAACTAGAACAAATTTTTGATTAATAACATATTTCTGTTTTTGTCATTTGTAAAAACTTTTAATGATAAAAATAAAAGAATGAAGATGTTGCTAATATTTCTGATCAAGATCAACAAAAAAGCTCAGATGATGATGATGATACTTTGTAAAAAGAAAATACCCTGGTTTAACTAAAATTTATATTAATGTGTAATACAGTGCATTTAATTGTGATTGTTAATTAATTATTAATTGCTTAAATAAACATATTTCTCTTAGTAATGAAAAAGAATATAATGTACTTTTGGAACTGTACCCTGTTTTGCCCTAGTCCTTTGTTTTGTAGAGCACAGATTCATATAACATAACATTATTTTGGAATGTAACTAACACATTATATTTACATGACATTATTTTTTTGTAGTACTAATTCTAAATTGCTTGTAATTGCTTTCATTTTTTTCAAGTGTATTAGTTCAAATAAATCTCACTTTCTTTAGTCTTAAACTTTTTTCTGAGTATTTTTAATTAGCTTCTTTCTTTTTTTTTATAATAGCATATAAATAAATTATTTAAAATAGTTATTTAGATATTAATTTAGCTCCTTTTCCATTTCGCTCTGAAGTAAAGAACATTACTTGTCTTTGCTAATTATAAAGTCAAATTAGTCATAACAAATAGTTACATAATAGGCATTTAAAAAATATATTCCATTTACTTCTAAACTTCTCCACATGCAAATATAAAGAACTTTTTTCACATTTCTTAACAAAAGTGCAATAATAATAATAATAATAATAATAATAGGCATACTTTAAATTATAATTAAAATTTAGAAATTTTCAAAAACAAGACTAGCCATAATACATGCTGAATATTAGAAACACCTTAAAATCTTCAACAGCATTAGCCTATTGTTAGAAGCTGCTGAGTTCTAAAAATGTTGCAGAGGACATTTGGGCAAGTGTTGCTTTTCAGGATTTTTTTTAATTTTAAATAATTTTTGTCGATGTTTAGACATTTTAAAATTAGTTTACTTACACCAAAATCAGTTCTTTTACATAATGTTTTAGTTTCCTGAATTTCAACTGCAAAATCTGAGATAGAAATCTTGAAATTATTAAAAATAATCATCATATTATAGATTTAAGTTAAGAAATATAATTTTTAGAGAAGATATCAATTGTTAAATGTCAATTGATAAAGTTTTCAGTTGAAATGAAAACATTAATGATATATATCCAAACATGGAAGAATATTTCTAAGTTATGTATAACTAAATGTATAATACCCTCAGGAACAGAGAAGTTTTGAAAAGAAACAGAAAAATCTGAAAGTTTTACATTTGTTTTTCTGTTGTTTTGTTATAGTGTTAAATATAGAATGTCTTGAAAATGGAGTTCTGGAATAAGTCCTGAAAGTGAAAGCTATAATGATGATATATATATATATATAGTTTTTCATACACAGTTCCAAAAATGACAAGAGACAGAAAAAGAACAAAAGTATAAAAAAAAAATCAGAGAGATTTCAGATATGTTGGTAATAGCTCTAAGTTAAGGAATTTTGTCACTTTAACAAAGATTTTAGTTAAAATTAATTTGGACTTATTTTTTTTTGCATAGTTGAGATTAAAGTGTCATTCAAGTGATAGGAAAATTGACACCACTTGCATAATATCTGCTCATACTTTATGAAAAAATTAATTGATCCATTTGTTTTATATAACTCTGAGTTTAAATTTCAAAACACAACCTTATAATCTTTAATATGAGTTAAAATCTAGGGAAAAATGATCAATGTTTACATATATTCTAATGCAAGTACAAGGCTAATTATAAGTAGATAATATTTATCTAGGTGTCCTAAAGAGATTGATATTTAACACGCTGTTTGTATATCTTTTATAATATTAGCACAATAGTTTTTGATATTAGTGGTTGAACTCTTATTGCATAACCCTTAGTTCGTAGAAAATAACTCATTATAGATATTTGCAGATTAGGCAACACACATTCTCATATATACAAAAATTAAGAATATCAAACAGTATTTTTTTTATCATAAAAATAAAATATGACTAGTTTTAGATTAAATCCAATCTTTGTAAAATTTGAACAGTTTTAATACATTTATAATACATACAATAATTTTGAAAGTGACCATATAATTTTCAGTAAGGGAATTGATAAATGATTTACTAATAATTGTATTAAAACTTTATTGTAGAGAATTGTTATATTATTTGATATGTATTAATGATTTGTATGAACATGGTAAACAGTTTCTCTTAAAAATGCAGAGTTGTATCATGTGTATAGCATATTTTTATATATATGTTTTAATAAATAGAGTAACCTAAAAGGACAATTTCTAGCCTTTTGGCTGATTTAGGTTAAATTCTAGCCCAGTTTTCTTAATCCATCTAGTATGCTTTCTCCTATACAAAAAAAGAATTACTATTATACATATTATATCTACATTGAAAGAATGGAACATTCAGTTATTAATGCTGGATACTCCACTTTTTTGGTGGTCTTCATAATAGTACTTTTTTCCCTCTGTACCAGTACATAATGATCAGATGGATTTTAATGCTTTTAGATTCCACGATGAAAGCATTTTATTTATTTAAATATAGCTATAATGTTTATTTTAATATAACAGTGAAACATGGAAATGTCCAGCTTAGAAGCATTACAATTTATTTTAATTTATTATTCTGTATTCTTTCTTCTAACTCCAGCAGTCAATTTCCAACTTAGTCATTCCCTTCAAGAAGGAGCAACCTTATATTAAAATTTCTGGTATTGGCAAATTCATTGTATCAGATGTATCAGATGCCATTAAAATTTGATAATTAATATCTAATAATTACGGTTCAACTGATAAATTCCATTTAGCAATGAATGATATCGAATCAGACATCTCACCCATCATCAAATTTTAAGCCATGTTGATTTCATCATTCAGCACATGACACCAAAAATGAAATTGGCCTCTTAAATATATTTTATTGCTATCTTTGATAAAATAAGTAAGCAGGGGAGGTGGTAACAATTGATATGCAAGGGAGGAGATAGCACCAGGCAGAAGGGAGTCCTTGTCCTTGCTGTTTATGCATGTATTGGTAACAGAGTGGTTATAAATTTTACACCTCTTTGTAATGCTAGCATGAGAGGAGTGATAGATGGTTTGGATGATTTTCGCTGCCTGCCAATTTGCCTTTATGCTGGGAAATTGTGCATAGGAAAACAAAATTGTAATATCTTTTAATGCCATCTTTACCCTCAATGAGCCTTTGATTTAAGGATCAGGAGGCATTAATACATAAATAGTTTAGTTTTTTTTAATTTCATTCTAGAATATATGATTAAATTAATATTAAATTATTAATTTTGAGGTTGCTTTCTAATAAATCACTATTTAACTTTTTCATTAGCCTACTGGATTGCTAAGTTACCTTGATTCTTCAGAACAAGTACCTGAAGTCAGTATTGATAGAATTAATATTCGAGATAATCTGAGGTTAGCTCAGGTGAGTCTATTTAAAAAAATAATAATATTTTTCTTCTAAATTATTTTAAAATAATATATAAATTACTATCTTCAGGATCATGCATTAAGAAACATGAAAAAAGCTCCTCCATCATGGCAAGTTATTGAAAAGCATGTAGAATTAGTTTTACAACATTGGAGGTCCCGAATTGGTTTACAGAAAAAGGAGGTACATTGTTTATTTTGTTGTAATCTACCTATGGATTAACAATTTATGAATCTTTTGTTTTATTTTTATACAGGATAAAATACAAAAACCAATAGTTCTCAGAAAGCGAAGAGAAAGAATAAAATGTGAAGCAAATTGGCAAATGTTTTATTATCAATTTAATCAAGATCATTCTAAACCTGACTTAATCTGGAATTATAGAGTGAGTTTTAAAAGGATTGTTTATCTGATATTTTATTAATTTTCTAAATAAAAATTAATGAGTAAATATTGATATTTATTAAAAAAGTTTCCTTAAAATAAATATTAATATATCATATTTTGCTTTATATAACATACACCCATGTTTTGGTTCAAACTCTTGGGAAAAAATCTTCTAATTTTTTAATTCAAATTTTTATTTGTTTATATTTAGGTACTTGTTTTTTTTTTGTATTATAAAAAAATTAGAAACACACAGATATAGAATTATTACTATCCATGTATAATGTGTCCTTATTTTTCCCTCACAAATTTGAGTATAAAAGTACACAATACATGGTGAAATATGGTAGTTTATTTTGAAGAAATAAACAAATATTGTTGATTATAGATATTAGAATACCATAAATTTGTATTGAGTAATCTTATGATTGAAATAATAAATTAAAATAAAAACAACTTGAACATCAAGCTTTATTTTAGTTTTTATTATTTTATACAGATGTCATAATTTAACTTTTGTACAATGGGTTAGTCAGCTATGGCGCTATCACGATGTAGTAGAGAATAATGTGGGAAATTTTTTAAGAATTTTTCCATGCATATTTCTCGTTACCATTTTGGAAGAAAATTTTTAAAACAGTTATGTCTAGTAAAGAAAAATCTTTTTTTGTCGTCACATAATTCCTTTTTTATGTAAACTTTTTTTCGCAATAGTTTTTGGCTAGTTTTCGGCAATATCTGCAAAAGAATTTTGCGGATATAGATGATGATCTCCAGTGCCACGTGATCGTCCTTGATGGCTACATCTATCGATCACTACAGAGTGGTTAATGTCATAAAACAGATAATTTTTTTTGTGTAAAATTATAAAATTTTAACATATCAAAAAATCTTAAATCAGTCATATATTTTACAAATGTCTGATGAGTGATTTTTTTTTTTTTCCTTGTGAAATACATTTTGTTTTTTCCAGAATTGTGTCAAAAATTGTGTAATAAAATGATAATTGTAGTTATTGGCTATATATATATAATGATGATGATCATTATATAGAAGACTACTGACTGTGTTCATCTTATCTGTTACCCAATGTTAAATGATTAATGTAGTTAGTTAACATTAACTTTTTTCTATAGTTATTACTATGATCAAATTGTCAGTTTTAGTAATTTAAACCAAATTTATTTTAAGGTTTGTTGGAATAAGCATTGTAATGATACAAGGTGATAGTGGTTGTGATGAAACACAGATGAAGAACTATATTGTCAGTCTTGTTAACATAGTTTTCACAGATAACTGTCAAGCATTCTTGCTAAAATGGTTAAAAATGCCCATCTCAGAGATAGTTCTGGTTCTGTTAAAATCTTTCATCCCAGTTCATGAAAAGTTTTTTCCCCTTCTCTTTAATAATTTTTACTAGTTATGCGCCAGATTGTTAAAAATGTATATCCACGGATATGGATACAGATACGGATCATTAGTGTCTAGATCCGCGGATACGGATACAGATACGGATCTCAACTTTCGTACTCAGTCGGCGCCGGTGCTTGTGACCTTGGACCGATAGTTGACGCTTTGCGTTAGTAACGCGACGTGTTTTGACTTGCACTGCGCGTGTTTTTGTTTATAGTTTAGTGTGACACGGGATAGCGTAGATTACGTTTGTATTTTTGGAGAGTGTTGAGTTAATTTAAAATAAAAACAATGTCGATAAAAAAGTTTAGTAGTGTAATATGGAAATATTTTACGATAGTAAATGAATTTTGCATGATAAAATTTTTGCAATGTGAATGTGCCAAATATGTGATTTTAAGAAATAAAAAGTGATTTGAATTGAAGTTATTAGTATTTTATTGCTACCTATCTTTAAAATTTCATATAAGTAATGAAATTCATTAAGATAAAAGATCCGTTAAAGATTTGTTAAAAAGTAACGGATACGGATATCCGGCACATCACTAATCTTTACCAATTCACATCACTAATCTTTACCAATTCACCCTTACATAATATACTGATAGTATCAGTATATTATGTAAGGGTGAAAATACAGTAATATGTTGTTATAAAAGCTTCAGTAAGAATACTGAATTGAAAATGAAGCAAGATAACTAGTTAGATAGTATGAATAATGTTACATAATCTCTGTTTAATTCTCAGTATTTAAAGTAATGAATCACTATGATTTTTACAAAAGTGAATAAACTTTAGATAATCTTGGTATTAATATTATTTTTATATATTCTAACATTCTAAATACAATGTAATAGCTTAATGAAAATAACCTGCTGTGTACTTCACATAACTCTGACAAGTGTTTTTTGAAAATTTAAGTAATTTAAAATTGAAAATTTGAAAATTTAAATTAAGTAATTAAAAATTTTTTGACAATAGAAAAATTATAATTAATGAGTGTTTTTGATATCCAGAAGTCTGAAATACAATGCATTATGCTACTGTGTTTAGTAAGTTACTAAAGACGGTACAGTACATTGCTATATGCTTGTACTGTCAGGAAATTTTTTGAGCGCACTTCTTGTAATAATAAATTCAGCACTATAATTTATTAAAGCTTGGTAAAAAATTCTAATTATAAATTACTATATTGTATATCCACTGTTTTATTTTTCCCATCTTCATGGAAAATATTCTAACTCAGAATTTCATGAAATCAGACAACCTTCACCATCTATTAGTTGAAGTTAGCAGGATTTATTAAAATGACACATTATTTAGTACATAATGTGAAATAATTTTCACTATATTAAATAAAAATAGTTTTGGATTCTAAATCCAGAAAAATTAAATCATTCTTTTATCCTTTTGCAACATTTTTTCCCCCAGTCCCCCAGTTTTATTGCTGTTTCATTACCACAACAATTGAAATTGAAATGCTTCGTTAAAAGAAAAACTTCAGTAAAATGCCATTTAATAATACTTTTTGTTAACCAAAATATTTAAACTATTGGATTATTAGCAGGCTGTAACAGTGTTTTTTTTACTTGGATGATTAAACTAATCTGTTGTATGTATTTAATAGCAATGTTATTGCCTGTTGATAATCTGGAAGTTCAGATTGTTGGTTGAGTGTACAGTGTCTCTTTCACTGTTAGACATTTTGTTTTTCAGACAACATACACTTTCATAAATAACACTTTGCTATCCCTAATTTGCTTTTTGTGTGCCAAATTCACTTTCATGTCTTCTTTCTGTTAACAAACAAAATTTTCAAGCTTTTGTATTTCAGTTTCAATAACATCAATT